CAATCCACTGGGGGTCCAGAGAGAACAAAAGACAGAGGAAAGAGGTGAAGCTTTCTCTCTCTCTCCATCCACTGGAGCTGGGATACACTCTTCTCTCCTGTCCGTGGGCATCAGAGCTTGAGACTCTTCAGCCTTTGGATTCCAGGACTTACACCAAGGACACCATCAGCTTCCCTGGTTCTGAGGCCTTTGGACTTGGACTGAGCCACACTACTGGCATCCAGTTTATAGACGGCCTATCACGGGACTTTTCTTCATAGCCACGTGAGCTAATTCCCCTAATAAATTCCTCTCATATAATTATAACATCCTATTGATTCTGTCTCTCTGGAGAACCCGGACTAATACACTGTGCTTCAGTTCTCTTATCAACATCAAAGGCTTTAGTCCTGTGAAAATTTTCTGGTCTTTCTCAATCTTAGCATTTCTATGGGTTTTCCTAAAGGGTTGGTCTTTGGCCCCCTAAGCTAGAGGCTTTGGCCTTCTATGCTAAGGACTTTGGTCCTGTGAAATACATGCGTTTTATTTCTATCTCATTAATAACTTCTTAGTCAATATCCTCTACACTAGACTCGGTGATTTGGAGAATGAGGAGGGGTAGAAGCAGGCTGACCACCCAGGTTTGATGGGTAAATGGAGGAAAATCAAATCAAATCACAAGGTTGACATGTAGTAAAACATTACAAATTTACAGAAATGTGTGTTTTTGTTTTTGTTTTTTGTTTTTTGTGGCTGGTTGTATGGGGATTCAAACCCCTGACCTTGATGTTATAACACTGCACTCTAATCAACTGAGCTAACTGGCCAGCCCCAGAAATGTGTGCTATTAATAGTACTGACAATGGCTAGTTTTTGTTGTTAATACTAAGCAAAACATCATGGATATCTTTTTCAAAATGGTCCATATGACAAAAAACACAAAAAAGTTGCTGGGACTATTTTCCTGACATTTCTCTGCAGCAGGATGGGAAGTGGACCTGGCTCAGTGGCTTTGCCAGCCCTGCCTCCACCCCCACAGACTCACACGCACACACGCACACACTCACCCACGCGTCCCAGCGAGCTATCCTCTCTGCCATCTCCACAGCCTCGTTGTGCTCACGTTCAGCTTCCTCAGCAGCCTCCCTGGCCAGGCGTTCCTCCGCAGCCTTCCTCTCCTCTTCTGCCTTTTCTTCATCCGTTAAGCCATAATTTCGAGGCTCCCCAATCTCTTTGATGAGCTGTTTGACAGCAAGTCTGTTCTGAGCATCTTCAAGTTTTCCTACATCTTTAAAGACCAGGAGAGAGATTAACACATACTTATATTCTAGGCCTGACTGTAACTGGGAAAATTCCTTATTATTATAAATTTGTGATAGTAAATTAACACCCTGGGGTTTCCTTTTCTAGTTGCCAGTCTAGTTCAGAATTTCTTTTGTCATGAGCAAATATTAGACCAGAGTGTGAGAGACATTGTTTGGAAGATTTGGACTTACGTCTATGAATTCTAACAAACACTACTGACTTGAGCAGATGGATGGGGAATGGACTCCCTCAAAAGTAATGAGCTCTCCATCTCTGGAAGTTTTCCAGCAAAGACTGGGACACTTCTGTCAGAGGTTTCCACAGAAGAAAGACCTGTACCTGTTGGAGGCCAGGCAGGATGACCTCAAGGTTCCTTCTGTTTTCTGTTTCTGAGAATCAATGATTCTAGGATTAATTTTCTTTCTTTCTTTTTTTTTTTTTTTGGTGGTTGGCCGGTATTGGGATCTGAACCCTTGACCTTGGCGTTATCAGCAATGAGCTCTAATGGAGTGAGCTAACCAGCCAGCCCTGGGATACATTTTCAATCCATAAAAATTAATCATCTCAGCTAGCCTACTTGAACAGGAAAAAGTCCAAACTCTGGGAAGAAGCATCAAGATCCAGAAAATCAGAAAGAAAACTTCAGGGGTTCACCAAGTCAAGGGGAGTAGAAACAGCTATGAAAGCTCAGATCTGGAGTCAGGAATGCTGATAAAAATGAGGTTGATGTGAGATCATATTTACTGAGTGCTTGCTGTGTGCTAAGCTCTGAGTTATGTGTTGACAGGAAATAAGGAGGGATGAGATAAAAGGCTATTTGCTTTTCTGGGTAAGCTATGCGAGTGAGCTGGCAGGTCTAAAGTTCAGGAGGGAGGCGGGTCTGTGAAGAGCACCAGTGCCTGGCAATGCTACAGGGACAGAACGCCACCCCCAAGGAACCTAGGAGAATGGCCCAAAGCATTTGGCAGCAAACACACATTTCTTTGCAGTGTCCTTTAAAACATTTGCCACTTTGTCATTCGACTTCACAATATACCCATATGTTTTTGTATAATAATAACTCCCTCCCATCACCAAATCCCCAAGTACAATGACTGCCAGAAAGAGTGCCCTGTTTATCCTGTGGCTCGCTGTGCCCTCAGCACGTGGTTATATTCCCCCCATCCTCGATCAGCCCCACAATCCCAGTTAGACACACACCAGGTTTGCTGGGAGGTCCCTACTCTCAACATTTACATTATTCTTGGGTCTGGCTTTTTAGTTCAGTGGGTTAGAGAGTGGTGCTGATAACACTAAGGTCCAGGCCAGATCCCTGTCCTGGCCAGCCACCCAAAACGAAACAAAACAAAATTCACATTATCCTTGAGTTTATTTCATACCAATATGTATCGGGTGGATTTCAATTTCATCAAAATAGTTGAAGACAGTCTCATCTTCAGTGTTGATGTCCCGGTAGTCACTCAGAGCCCGGAGGAATAGGTCCTGGCTGTAGTGGGTCCCCGACACGACACTCTCGGGAAGGTTTATCACCCGCTCCTTCAGAAACTCGTCTGAAGCATCCAGCGCACAAACAAATTCTAGGGAGAAGGAGAAGTTTCGGAGTTGGCACAATACGGTGGAGCTAACTAGCAGGGTGCTGGTGAACAGACAGGTGCTGCTAACCAAAACATCTGTCTGGTTACCAGCCGGGATTTCGTGTTGCTGCAAAAGGCCTGTTAGATTGGTTTTCTTGGGGGCTGGCCCATGGCTCACTCAGGAGAGTGCAGTGTTGATAACACCAAGGCCATGGGTTCGGATCCCATATAGGGATGGCCGGTTAGCTCACTGGGTTAAGATCCCCTTACTGGTCATCTTTAAAAAAAAAAAAAAAAGATTGGTTTTCTTGCTGCTCTCTTGGAGGATAAATGCATGCAAATCACCGTGTCTCCAGAGATCACCCTACGAGGCCCAACCAATCAGTGTTTTGTGCAGTATGTTATTTTTCTTTCATTTGTTTTTTCCTTCCTTCTTTTTAATAAAAGCAGCAGAAATTGTAGATACAAATCTCTGATGATCCTGTGATGTCATCAGCTTCCTAGTCAATCCTCAGCTTGCCTCTGTTCCAGCACAATTATGCACAGGCTCCCAAAGAGAGCCATGGCTATGAGCAAAATGCCTTGATGGCTGGTTTGCCAAATTAACGAAAGGGGGGACTCTCCTTGGAATTTAGTTTCTATGGACCCAGCTGCTTTCTCACTTAATGCCACCAGCTATGAAACATTTACATTCAATACAACACAGTCAGTGCTTATCAAATTTAACACATAGATCATATTAATGATGGGGATCATTTTACCCTCCTGTAAACTGTGAAAACTATAAAAACAGCTGTTTCTCCAGCTTCTAGAACAAATTCAATGCATATTTGTTGAATGAATGAAAGATTAAATGCAGCTCAGTGAAATAAATTTTCCAAGGAGAGTTGCTATTTTCGGGCCTTTTCAACAACAGGACCAGAGTACACTGGTGCCCAGATCATTGGCCAAGGCCATGGTGAAAAATTTGCTTCCTCTAAGAGCCTGACCCAGAATGATTCCCTATGAGTACACCTCATAGAAACAACAACAAAACTTTAAAGTTCACGGGAAGGTCACAAGAAATGCCTGCTCAGTACTAAGTAAATCCTGTTGTGTAACAAGTTGAATATGCTTTGCTTTCAAGAGTGCATTGTGAATGCCTCTGTGTAAGTAAATATGTGATAGATTAAAACTGCTGTGGCATTAACAATGAATCAAAAAGCTTTTTCCCTCCCAATCTCAATTGATGATCCACGTTTCTGGAAAAGCTGATGGCATCGCAAGCACCAAAAACAGCCTGGGGAAGGAGGTGTGGTAATTCAGCCCCTGGCAGTCTTGCCAAGTGACTGTCAAGCCATCAACAGATTTGCTACTTTTTGCTTTTGTTAAGGGGAGAACAGCAGAAGTGAATGTTCTCAATGGGATTTCTATTCATTTCATAACTTTAATATCCCTGACATTTAACAGCAGTGGATTCTCTGGTTTGTAAGTTTGTACTTGAATATATCTTTTAATTTTTTTTCCCTAAAAAATGAAAGATATACTCTATTACACTCAAAAAGATTGTTTTGGCACAAAAGAAATATAAAACAGCATTCCTTTTAATGTGATCTTGGAGAAATATCTTAAACTTACCGGGTATAATTAATTTATCAAAAGGAAACATTTTGCCTCTGATTTCTTCTTCCTCCTCCTCGTCTTCGTCTAATAAAACAAGACATTTGTTGTCATGTTTATTAACATATTATTATGGATCACAACAAAAAATTCAGATATCTTAACTAGCAACCACTAAGGAAAACTAGCCATAAATAGACATGCATTACACAGATATATATACTCTCACAACCTACATGTCCATTGAGAGATGATTAAATAAAGAAAATGTGGTGTATATATATATACATATATTCAGCCTTTAACAAGAAGGAAATTCTGACACATTCAACAACATGGATGAACAGGTTGAGGAACTATGAACGTAAAGAGGACATTATGCTAAGTGAAGTCAGTCAGTCACAGAAAGACAAATACTGCCTGATGTGACTCCACTTATATGAGGTACTTAGAGTAGTTGCATTCACAGAATGAGAGACTGGTGGCCAGAGGTCGGGGGAGTGGGGAAGGAGGGTTAGTAATCAATGGGCATTAAGTTTTAACCCAGCAAGATGCATATGCTCTAGAGATCTAATGAACAACATAGCATTTTAGAGTCAACAATAATGTTTGGACACTTAAATATCTAAGAGGGTAGATCTCATGTTAATTGTCTGTACCACAATAAAATGAATTTTTTAAAACTTTTAAAAGGCTGTGCACCTAATAAGAAATGAGCCAAGACTCAAAAAAAAAAAGTCTCTCGAATTTTTGTTTATTTTAATTGAATGACTATTTCTCTGAACAATAAAGTTGTAACTATTGCGAATATAAACACTCAAAATAAAGACTCAAACTTACTACTGAATAGGTCTTTTGCTTGATCATAAGTCTTTGGATATCCATCCAAAATATAACCCTGATTCCTGCAAGGCATAGATTTTAGCTTTTCTTTCATAAATCTAATTATATATTGATCTTCTAGTCGGCCTGATAAAAAGAAAAAATAAATTACTGTGGAGTCACATTCAACATGGGGGTTATGTTCTAAAGTTATCTTGAAAATCGTTGTGTAGTCGAAGGTACTATTGAAAAAATCTCTATTTTGCCCTTAAAGTAAAAATGTGTGACTTTTTATCTGGAACATTACGGGTGAATTCTAATGCACAATAAAGCAGGAGAACCCAGTGAGCTTGTCTACAAGAAAGAACTCATGCAAACGCTGATGTCTGCACATCTGCACTTTCAAAATGTTCTTCTGTGATCACAACTTTTGGGAGTTGATTGAGGAGTAAGTGGAGCAATGCAGAGCGCCCACCCGCCTGTCTACTCAATGAAGTTTTTATCTTACACCTCTATAACCTTAATATACAACAATAAATGCTTCTGTCGTGAGAATTAAGTGAGATGGTCTCCATGTATGTTGCCAGCATGTGATTTATTAAAAGTAGGTGCTCAATAAATATTTGCTGGATTTGAATAACAATCAAATTTGACCTGACCCTCAAAGGCACTTTTATCTTTAATGCTGCAGAAAAGAATGTGGCCCACCTGCTCCCTGACTTTTCAGTTGGCATTTCTGACCTCAGCTCCACTGGACAGTTGCTTCTAAAGTCCCAAACGCTGGGTTACTGGAATTGCTTGGGGCAAGTTGAGAAGGAAGGAGTTTGTTCTAAAACTGGCACAGTGGTTAAACGACAATTTGATGCTGTTGGAGAGAGCAGGATTGAAGCCCTGTTGGGACCTAAAACTGCCTGGGCTGCAGGGGAGGAAGAGATTTTTTAAAAAACAGTATTTTTTTTTCTCTCCACTCTTTCTTCCCACCCCCTGGCTTTCTTCTCTTGCTTGCTAAATAGGACTAAAACTGCCTGGGCTGCAGGGGAGGAAGAGATTTTTTAAAAAACAGTATTTTTTTTCTCTCCACTCTTTCTTCCCACCCCCTGGCTTTCTTCTCTTGCTTGCTAAATAGGAAAACAAGACTGGGAAGCTAATCAGTACTTTGCAAAGCTAACAGTTCTTTCTCTGAGACTTGTAGAATTTTGAGAAGTGATCAAGGCCAAATGACTGGAAGATGACCTTGGGCACCTGCCAAGTCAGCCAGAGCTCTGCTAAGTGAAATGTATGCAGAAGACTTTGCAGAAGAGTTGATTCTACTCCGAGCAAATCAAAGTCTTGCAGGGTCCTGAGATAACAGCAGAGATGAGAACAGAAACCAGCCAAGACCTTGTCGAGACTTTGTACCTGACTCATAGACACGGACCCCTTGTATCTTATGTCTCCTCTCCTGCTTTTCACTTCCCACATTCCATTCTCTCAACCCCCTCTTTAAAAACCCCTCAGTAAACCTGAGTCTTTGAGATGGAGTTAGCCTGGCCATTCTCCCTCAGGCAGACTGGGGAGATGGCTTTAGCCTGGCCAGTCTACTTCAGGTTTACCAGAGAGATGGGTTAGCTTAACATCTCTTTTCAGGTCATTGGTATTCCTGAATAAAAGCTGACTTCCATTTTCACCAGCATTTGACTTTTGATTGGTTTGCCTGGGGGCAGGTAGCCGGAACTGTGAGTTTGGTATCAATTTTGGGGAGCCTCAGCCAGGAGCTGAGTATGTCCTGTAACACTGCAAGTCCACTGCAATATTCAGCTATCACTCCATTGTGATTGTTGAACAGCTATCATGTTCCAGACACAGCTCTGTCTTTACGTTGTTATACGTCACAGTGATGTTAAGTGTGGCAAGTCAGAGAAACTCATCTCTGAAGCTCTTCCCAGGGTATGTATTACATTTTTAGTTTACCAGTGGATCTATAATGTAAAATAAATACTCTTTGGTCTCTTTTTATTGCTCTATTACTGACAATAAGATGATCTAACTAAAAAACCTCTCCTTCTGACATTCAGTGTCACGTGAATCATTAGGCAGTAGGGGATTCAAAAAATAATTGTGTCTTGGGCTGGCCCTGTGGCTCACTCGGGAGAGTGTGGTGCTGATAACACCAAGGCCAAGGGTTCAGATCCCACATAGGGATGGCCGGTTTGCTCACTGGGTGAGCATGGTGCTGACAACACCAAGTCAAGGGTTAAGATCCCCTTACCGGTCATCTTTAAAAAAAAAAAAAAGAAATTCAGTTCCGGACGGGGCCGACCCTGTGGCTCATTCGGGAGAGAGCGGCGCTGGGAGCACCGAGGCCGCAGGTTCAGATCCTATATAGGGATGGCTGATGCGTTCACTGGCTGAGCGCGGTGCGGACGACTTGACTGCACCGTGCTGAGGGTTGCATCCCCTTACCAGTCAAAAAAAAAAAAACAAGGAACAGAGAGACATTTGGGCCGGCCTGTGGCTCACTCGGGAGAATGTGGTGCTGATAACTTCAAGGCCACGGGTTCGGATCCCATATAGGGATGGCTGGTTCGCTCACTGGCTGAGTGTGGTGCTAAGAACACCAAGACAAGGGTTAAGATCCCCTCACCGGTCATCTTTTGAAAAAAAAAGAAAAAAGAAATTCAGTTCCGGTCCCCTTTGATGCATCCCTTGGCTTGTTTCAGTCACTGAGCTTTGCCGTTCATTTCTGTAAGCAAGGACAAACATATGGTAGCAGTTTTGGGTAACTAAAGAATGTTTT